AAATATATATTTTCAATATTGTTGTAAAACCGGGAAATAATTCTGTATTGTTATAATCATTGAAATAATAAACCAGAAATCGCATATATCGTAATTTATGGCATCCCAATTTATAAATGATACTAAGAGTAAGAGAAAACTCACTTGGCACAAATATTTCTAGGAAAAAGGATACTTTTTGGATCACCTGATAACTTACCACACTGATAAGATGAAAACATTTTTGGAAGCTTTGATTTTATGGACAATTTTAGTGTGCTTATTCGCACCAGTTAAGTAAAGATCTACGAAAATAAATGATTTAAAACATTTATTCACGAATAATTTTCACAATAAAATACACATATTTCTCTAATGAAAACTGAATTAGAACTAGTAACCTCTTCAACCATTTTACTGAGGTTTAGTATTTTGATAGTTCCAATCCAATCGCAGTTTATTAATTTATTAGAAGTAAAATAATTAATTTGCATTTTTTGTTTCCTTTGCGACATGATTAACAACTTCAAAACACATTAAACCCTGTAAAAGGGTAAAAGTACGTATTCGAAATGCGAATCACTCCGGTAGAAGAACAATCAATTCCAATTCCATCCCTAATCCGAATCGTCAAATGAAAAATTAATGAAGGCGACATCCAGCTCAGATTGGAGCTATAAATTCCTACTTTACTGCCGTCTATCTGATTAAAAACCTACAGAAAATTTAATATGTCTCTAATGATTGCTGCGAAAATGATTGCAACTGTAAATTCACTCGCACCCAGCTAATGTCAGTTTCATATTTAATAAGAGACGTTCGACGATAAAAATGAAAATTTAACGTTGAAACTCTGACGTTAATCTCGTTTCAGACCCCGAAATATTTTTCAGCAGTCTCGGTACCCAAACAGGGAGGAAATTATCCCCTAGGCGCCCGGAGGTTGTAAATTACTGGGATAACCTAAATATGTATAATGTTCTCACCCCTGTCGAATAATTTAAAATGTAGTTCCGTCGCAGTCAGAGCAAATTCGATAAAAATGAAATGATGGAACAAAATTCATTCGCGTTAAGCGAAATCTAATTTGCTTTACTGGACTTTTATAAGTGAATTCTTGTTTATTTGCTTTACAAGTCGGTTAATGGCAGTAATGAAAGTTTGTAGATGTTTTCTAAATGTATCTCAGGTTAGTCATATACCTACAGTATGTCCTGACATACAGGGTGTCCCACTAAAGGCGAGGTACGATATTAAGGAAAATATAGGCTCTAGAACTTCGGGAAATCAATCAATAGATCAACCAAGTGAAATTACTGAATAGTTTTCAAGTTCGTAGCTCAGCTACTAGGGGGCGCAATCTACATACCGAAACATAGAGTTGTATTTTTCTCAGAAATGTTTCCTATTCAGGTATATTAAATAGTTGTTATTGACATTTTGGGGAAGCCCCTAATGTCTGATCAGAAATATGCATTTTTTTAAGGATTGCCTCATCAAAAGTTCATAGTGTTATATCTCGTTGGAAAGGCATTTTCATGCTTTATCTCGTGGTGAATGCATAACGTCATTTAGCTCAAGATGGAAACCTATAGATGGCGTTATTTCAAAAGAATGCCGTTTTATGGATTTTTTTAAAAATTGTAAATAAAGTGCTACAGTTTTCTTAGTTAGTTTGAAGAGCATAAAAATAGCTACATTTTGACGCCAAAAAGGGTTAGATATATTTTTTTGTTATCAAATTATTCGCAAATTAGTGAGTAAAAAATTTCTCTTGGTCGATTTATTAATCAAAATTTTTTCCCCGAAGGTCTAGGGGCTATAGGTACTTTCTCTAATATCGTACCTCGCCGACCATAATGGGACACCCTGTATATGTGTACAGGCCATTACACCCAAATAATGATGTTCAATATTCAAAAAATTGCGTTTGTAATATACCTTGCATATGCAATAAACATTAAATAACGAGTATTTGAGAAATCAAAAATTTGCTTTAACGTTTGGGAAAACGGATCGGTCAGTGGAAACCTCAAATTGGGTCCTAAATTACTAATTAGAGTTTGTAACTAAATAATTCCACACGCGAAAATTAATTCGCTATTAAAATTAACAGCGTTCAGAAATCCGAAATAATTGCGCATTCAGATTTTGCCTGGCAACGAACAATCCTAAAATTAAAATCGCTGGGAATTTTGCTCGACAAACGCGAGGGTGTTTTTTCTTCAGAAGTTTGTCGCGCAGGGCCTTTTAATTAACGTTCTTTTGAATTTTAAAAGCGACAATGGCAACCGATTGCGTAAAAACTGGAAAAATAAATTAATCAAGATTAATGATTACTTTTATGTTTCCAATTAAAAGAATTAAATTTGAGGTATGGACAGTGCTGGGAACGTGGCTCCAGGCCATTTTGTCGTTTACATTCGCGATTTCCAAGGAACCTAATTAAGCACCTGCGACATTCGCTTAATTAGGAAAATTAATGACGATTCGAGTTTAAATATTTAACAAAGTTTGGGAGAAGTTCTCATTTCGACTCATTTAATTTGCCGTCTGCTAATGGTGGTGATAGGAAACTTTCATTTTCGAAGTATAGGGGTATCTGCTTGGAACAATAAATGCTGTAAAACGGAAGTAAACGGCAGGGGACCCCCCCGAATAAGTCACACTTGGAAAATTTAACCCGGAATTCAGTTATTCCAGGAGTTTTAATTAAAACATATTTTACTTTCCTCTGCGAATGCGAGCAATTTCAACAGAACCCGATCAACAGCATTTTTCGCAGATTTCATTCAGTATTTCTGCGTCCTAATTCAAATGAATTCCAAAGATTTTGCTAAATTCTCATCCAAATTTGTACAAAGGATGTAACTAAGAAATTTGGATACACTTTGGTGCATTCTACGTTACTAATTAATAAAAAAGTTCTTAAATTTATGTTCTGAAGTTGAATTTGCCTGTCAAATTCATACTTTGCAACGACATCACCGATTATGAGATAATTACGCCGCAGTAAGCTCAAAATGCAGTAGCTGACCCTAGCGAAACCCTCGTTAGTTGGGACTGATCCAGCTTTATCAGAACACGTTGATCCGGGTCCGACCATGACAAATCCAAAAACGTATATGGCCTTCATGCGGTTGTAGCGTACCTATGCTCTCCATGCTAGAAACAGACTGCGGTTTTTGAAAGTCACTGAGTGCTGGTAAAGTGAATTTTAGAAATATCTAAGGTAGTTTGTGAAAAATAATGCCCTTTGTCCAGTCCATAATGTTAGCGTTACGGAAAGGTAAAATGATTCTGCTCAGCTATTTCCCAAAATGAATAATGCAGCATTCTTAGGAAACCTTCGGTGTTTACATAGTGTTTCTTTAAATTTGTTGTGTCCAAAAAATATCCAAAAATACATAATAAAAGTTGGTCTACACATTTTATCTGCCAAAACATCTAAACTGCCAGTTAATCTTAAAGTCAGTGCGACAGTGGTGGTGATGGTGACTTTCATGATGATTACGATGGTGATGATGATTACAGATTCATTTGAATTAGTTGTACATTCAACAAAAATGGTTCAATTTTAATAAGAATAACCTTTTTTTTAGTCCTTTGTTGGAATTATAAACTAAAATAAAAATAAAATTGCATTGGTATATTGAATAACATACCTTAATTTTCAACCGCTGCTATAAGCTGTTTCTCTAATTCATTTAAAAGTGACATGAAAGTGGCTAGTTCTTGGCTGTTAGTTAAAGCCTGTCTTGCAGTTGATTAAATAGTAAAACTTGATTAAAGTTGTAAATATTAGTCCAACATTACACTTGGAGATAAAAAAATGTTACTTGGATATTTATAAGTGGAAATGGCAAAAGCAATTGTATCATTGGGATTTCTGGGGAAAGTTGACGTCAAACAAAAAAGTATCTACTACAAAAGTTGTAGATCATGCAAAAATCAACAACCTTTGTAGGAGTCACTTTTTAAAATAACCACAAAATTTCCGAGAAAAATGCGAAAAACAAGTTCTCTTCTTATTTTTCGTTTTTTATTTCTCATTTCCGCAAAAATAATTTAATTTTGACGAAACTTGGTGAAAGTATACCTTTCTCTGTCTTAAATATACACAAATTTTCGGAGATATTCATTTTTCCGGTCTGAAACACTTTTTTTTAAAGAAAAATTCTACTTAGGAATATCATCGTACATAGTTCTGCTGGTGATCATTTTTTTCGTTTTGATATATACTTTTTGGTGAAATAAAATCTAAAAAAATAAAAAATGACTTGCAACAATGAATTTTTCAGTAATTGTAGATAATTTTTAAAAAATTGAAAAACTGATTAGGTACATCGTTCAATTGTACGGAAAAAAATATAAAAAAACTGTGTCTCATTGTTTGACATAAAACTTTATTTTTGTACAGTATTGCCATAAACATAAGTTGAATAGTGAATAAATAAAATAAATAATATTTTTTTTCCGTAGGATCAATTAGTGTACTTATTTCTTCTTAGTTTTGATGTCAAAACGAAAAAAAATGATTATCGGCAGAACTCTGTACGATAATTTTTCTTTAAAAAAAAAAGTGTATCAGACCGGAAATGAATGAAAAAATTTGTGGTTATTTAAGACACAGAAAGGTATACTTTCACCAAGTATCGTCAAAATTAAATTATTTTTGTGGAAATGAGAAATAAAAAACTAATAATAAATTTTTAGCATTTTTCTCGGAAATTATGAGGTTATCTTAAAAATTTATCGCTACAAAAGTTATAGATTTTTGCATGATCTACAACTTTTGTATATGATACTTTTTTGTTTGGCGTCAAATTTTGCCAGAAATCACAATTTTTCACATATTTTCAACCTCCCAAATCAATCCTCCGCCACCTCTGCTCACGCATTTATTTTTTTTAGGTTTATTATAAGCCCCTCTACCATTTCCACTTATAAAAGTCCAGGTACAATTTTTTTCCCTTCTAAATGAGTTATTTCGATCGGTCTAATATGTAGAAATAATTTACCTTTCTTGCACTTCTTCTGAATCGTTTTGGTAGACTCGCAGCTGGTTTGGTTGCCCTTCTTTAATGTCAACGTTCGAGATCTCTGGTTTGTCTTCGGATCGCACTCTGACCATGCGCCTTTGCTGTATCTGCATTCCTCTGTAAAATAATAAATAAAATAGAGAAACGTGAATTCAAGCTCTGTTATTATACAAAGCATCCAATCTTTAATCTTTTGTCGTTAGTAAAACAATATAATCGACATTACAAAGCTTATTCCAAAGAAAAAATAAGGGTTTTACTCATTTTCTCAAAGCTCTTTTCTTGCAAGAGAACCTTATAGTAAACCTTGCACTAGGCAACTGTAAACAGTTTTTCCTAGATCAAAGAAAATGGTAAAAGAAAAGCAAAGATTGACGGTCATTGTAATATATTAGAACCACTTCAAAGTCGATGCTAGAATTTAAAGGGGTAATGGTAGAAGGAGCCTTTATACTTTCAACAAATTTCCTTGCACGACGGGCTGTTCTAATAATTATTTTCCTTTCATCGACGTTTTTGATGTTTATACACACAAAGTTTTGCTGGCACCACCGAAATTATTTTGCACATTGGTCCGCTTCTCCCTGGAAACTTACACGATTTGAATTACCGAATTTTGTTTGCAATTAGGGACTCGGTTCCGAATTTACGTGGGTAATGAGGTTGGAGCTGGAAGATACTTTCTGCATGTAACACATGTAATTAGTTCACAAACTATATCCTAGCCTAGACCGTAATTTTGGCAACCAATAATTTTTTTTACCGAAATATTCGTGCTAATTTGATAACAGAGTATATTAATTACCAGTTTTCAACGTATGCAGAATATTTTGTGAGTTTCATAAACAATTCATTTCCCATGAGCTTTCATTGTATTTTATCAACGCCACTATTACAAAATGTGTTATTAAATTTAAATGAGTTCCATTAAACTAATAAATAACGGTAATGGATGAGGTAAATTTCCATAACAACATATTAAATCCGTAAATGCGTTCTACTTACGCATAATATCAAAATAATAGCTATTTGTGGTTAATCACTCATACGGTTAACGTCGAATTTACTGAAAATTGATTTTATTTTATTTATTTTGCGCCATTGACGATAATTTTTGTACATAGTATTTACTAATAAGTTGCCCATTGTAACTTTCAACGGATCTTTTAAGTCCTCTTCTCGGTCGAGATCATAAGCGTTACAATTCGTCTGAAGAAAGACTGGACTTCCTACTTATATTCATTGACTTTTTTAAACAAGTATGCAAACCAGACATATTTTAAGTTTAAATCAAACCAACCTACAATAATTTCGTCATAAGTAAAATGAAATTCACGATTTATTAATTTACTAATTAGTATTTTATAAATTTATCTATAAGGCGCTGTATAAATTCTCTAGAAGAGCTTCTTAAGCATTTTTTTTCTGGCGTGCTAATTTAGTCTGCAATATTCCAGTCTCGAAGCCTCTTTCCGATAATTTATATGATGACCCGACCCAAATGAACTCTCGGCAATTTATTTTTATGATTACCCTGATAAAAGAACATTCAACGCAGTTCCAGAGCCATTTATTAATATTTATTACACTTTTTGCATTCAACCGTCGTTAATTTAATGAAATTAGTACACTATGATCCGTTGGTGATTCAGAAAAGCTAATTTAGAAACCGCGATTCACGCCTGTTTTGTTTATTTTGAGTGACTCTGTTGTGAAGGTGATAATGACATCCAGTATTACGCGCTAAAAAAGCAATGGACGAATAAATATTAGATTATTACAATTTAGTAATTTTAATATTTTCACTATGTCTTATAATTGATTATTGTTTTTAGAATTATGTTCAATTAACTATTCAGTTTATAGTACGTATAAAACACGGCTAAAATAACACTCATTCGCTTTGTTAATGAAGTTGGGATGTGCTGCACTTTCATTTTGAAACCAATTGCAAAATTCAAGACGACTGGGGAAATTAGCTGTTTCGCTTCAACGTTATATAATTATTTTTTAAAGTATTGCAACTCAATAGCATAGGGTTTAAAATTATGTTGATAAAAATGCTTTACTTCTAATTTAAAACACGTATAACAAATTTCTACTTTAAAAAAGTATGAATTTTATATTTTTAGAAGAAAACAAAACGTTTTCTTGACAAATTACAATTTTTTTATTTGCATTTTTCGACAAACATAGACATGAACCCTGTCATGATTTTAAATACAGCTATATCGCTGACACACAACAATTTAAATATAACTGTTAATCCAGCCTGGCAAAATCAGAGTTAATTATTTAAAAATCCGTTCGGAATTGGTGATATTTTGATACAGTATTTTTTCAGGATCAACAATTTTTGCGTCAAATATTGTCTCTGTAAACTGCATGTTTGCACTGGGCTCGGAAACCATTAACTTTAATATTTACGTTTGCCGTAACGAACACATTTAAACGAGTCGTTACATCAAAAATTCTATTCCAAGCCCCATATACATTATTTGTGCGAGTTAAATAAAATTTATTGCATATTAATCTTAATTAAATTAGGTGCGTTTTAATTAAAAGGGCTCCCTCTGTTATTTTCGCGCTTACAAAAACAACTAATTTATAATTAACACATAGTAGCAGGCACCTTTCTATTACTAAAAACAATAATAATAAATACCTAACATTAAGTTTTTTCAAAAAAATTATAATGCATGGCACTGGCCTATCAAACAAATTTTTTTTGTCGAATTGAGAATGGAGAAGTACAATAATTTGTAGTTTGAGTAATTGAAAAAGAAAACAAATGTTTGTAAAACTTCGTAAGAATAATTTTTTTAATTTCAACTTACTTCTAAATAAATTCTAACATTATTATTTTTGCAGCTAGGATCATTAATATCTGCGTTATATACATTATTTTACAATACAACATTACACTAACGCTTAGAGCTAAATACATATTACAATTGAATGACAGGGCTGCCGCTTGGGATCTGATTTGAGGAAATTTTATAACGGCAGGGCCCTTTCGCCCTTACCAAATAATATCAGTGAAATTGAAGTTGAATCATATTAAAGGAAAACTCGCCTAGTTTGATATTTCAATACTCACGCCCTGCGAATTTTTCAATCATCTAAAATAACGTTTACTCCTTAGGGTTCTGTTGTAGTATTTATATTAAAGTGCAAAGCAAAATCGATAATCCAGTGAATAATAGGGAAAAGAACAATATAGAAATCGAGTTCGAATGGGAGATTGTGTTTTGCTTTGTATCAGAGCATTACAACGAATGTTAATGAAAAGTTTAATCTCCCAACTCAATCCGGGCTAAATTATAAAAAAATAGAGTTACAATACAACCATATAGGTACCTCTAATGTACAGAATTTATTCGTTTGGAGTAAATACTTAAATACCAAAATACTTATCTGGAGTAAAAACAATTAGGTGAAAACACCACTAAACCCCCAAAATGTTTCATAATTTCCCTCTAAACCGATTTCATAAATTACTGGTTTGCTTTTACATCACCTAATGCCCAGTAAAGTATGTTTAATGCCGAGTAATGCTGCCAGGCGTACCTCCTCCATAGACCACACCACCCTTCCTTCGGGCATTTTATGACGACCACGAAATTCCATTCAAATTCCACCAAGGACTATGTTTTCTTATTAAACTTCCCATTAATAATTGGCCCGAACTCAATACTTTGAATGAACGTTGGAGCGGGACTTGAGGCGTCGATTTGTGGTTCATAATTATGGTAATACCGGTGATATTAGATATGCACCCCAAGCAAAGGGTAAAATATACGTCTAGCGGTGAACACAGGTATTCCCACAGGGAGCATTGCAATCTCAGTGACAGATTACTAATTGGATGTGACTCTAACAGCAAAAACAAATAAGAGAACGTCTCATTTTCTAATAACTATAGCAGGAAATAAAAAATAATTAAATAAACTCCTACGGCAAAGGATCAATTACAAGTTTTTATAAAATTGCGTTCACTAATCAAAAAGCTTACGCTGAGAAAGGCAGGGAAATAAAAATGCAAGTCAATAAATTACACACTTTAATTCGTTTCGAGTAATTGTCTCTTTAAAAACCGATATTTTCAGTAATCATCTTGAGGAAAAAATTGTTATTTTTTGACAATATAATTACTAATACTATGCGTTTCAAAATGCTGTTACTTTTGATGTACCGTTTTATATACAAAATTTCATGTTACCAAACAAATACGGGCCATGAAAATTTATCAACTACCCGATTTTCACGAAATTAAATAAAATATACAATTTCATAAAGTCCGACTAAACCCGTTCGCTTTGTACGTAAGCCGTCATTCGTTCTTAATGGTCATTAAGCGTAAAATACAAACAAAGCATGTTGTACACATCAACAATCAAATTATTCGCATGATTACGAAACAATTTTGCCAGAGAACAGAGGAAATATTTCGCAAACAAAGCTTTGTTTATGCGTTATTTTTGCTTTACAAAGACCGGTACTCCGGTAAGGGTTGTTTGTTTTTTTGTTGATTTGACATTATCAAACATATCGGACTGTAGCATAGTGCCAAATAATGCTTTATATGGCCTTAGTAGAACGCAAATTGTGTATATATATTTGTTATCATCAAAAATGACGAGTACCTACGAAACAAATATATTTTGCTTATTTTTATTCATTTGTAAGAACCAGATAATAAGACTTGCAAGAATTGCAATAAAGCTTTCGGTAAAGATGTCATAACATTAAGGAATGTCAACAGAAAGATTATAAACAAAAAGGTAACTTTATTTTTTTATATAAATCCTGTTTAATCTAGCCCAATTTGGGATTCATAAATTTTCCCACTGATAAAAAACAACTACTAAAAACTAAATGAATTAGGGGGAGCACCTTAATCTGTTGGCATAAAATCAATAGCGAATTTATAACGAAACATCGCCCTCTTATCGATGCTGAAGGAGAAAGTGTATTCGATAAACAAAGAACAAAAGAAATACTTTCCCTAACTTTTTATGAGTTATATTCCCTCTTCGGCAGAAAATAAAAGGATGTTCCCCAAATAAATTGGGCCTTACAACTTCATCGACTTCCATTCTCGTGAAGTTTTTGAG